CCTAACCCTAACCCTAACCCTAACCCTAACCCTAACCCTAACCCTAACCCTAACCCTAACCCTAACCCTAACCCTAACCCTAACCCTAACCCTAACCCTAACCCTAACCCTAACCCTAACCCTAACCCTAACCCTAACCCTAACCCTAACCCTAACCCTAACCCTAACCCTAACCCTAACCCTATTTCTATATATAAATACGTACTATATTAATACAATCAACTAAGTGTAACTATCTAACTACATTACGTACCATTATATAATATAATAGTTCTAGGTAGGCCCATACCTACAGACCCACACCACATACTCTACTTAATTCTCGTACGCGCACAGGATTCTCTTCCTATTCCTCGCACAACAATTAAAGTCTTAGCTTAGTGCTTGCTCGCGCCCCGTGACACTACGATTGCCGGAAGTAGCGACATTGGAAGCAGCGACATTAGAAGCAGCGATATTGGAAGTAGCGACATTGGAGCGATAGTCGATAGAGAACCGGCCAAGTTCGATTGGCATTAGCTAGCTCTCAAAGGGAAGGTACACTTTACTCCATCCACAACCACGTCCTAAATCCTTCCGAATCCTTATCCGCGGGCGCCGTCTCCTGCGTCTTCTTCCTTCCATACAATCCCCACGCCATATGCTTCGTCGGGTTCGCAGCTAAGCGCTCAAAGCTCTTTACAGTCTCCGAATCATTACCCTCGACAGCTCTTGCATGCTCCAACGCCATTCGAATCAACTCCCCAGCCCTCGCCTTATCATCAATCGCAGCCATCATCTGGAAGGCATCATAGTACGCGCGGTACACCTGGCTGTTGTACGTGCCCTCATCTTCGAGCAGTGACAGCATCTTGCGCACCATCTCAAGTCCAAATTTGACGTTGCTTCTGGCGCTGAGAATAGCCTGATCCAGTGTATGGATGGTGGTAAGCCTCATGTCGCTGGCCCTACGTTGGCCGGATGGCAATGAGCACAGCTCGCATGCGCAGTCAAAGTTGAACTTGTTCTTGAGAATGGACTGACGCTCGTCATACGCCGCGAAGTGTCCGATGTAAGAGATGGTGATCTCCTCCCCTTTCTTGATGTCACGGACGGCATGGATGGTTTCGCGGCTGATGCGTTCATTCCAGCTATTTTGCGTGTTGGGGTTGCAAGCGTGGTTGATACGTGATGCTTCAGTGAAAAGGCCGCCTCCGACGGGCGGGGAGCCAAGACCGAGCATGTTCGTCTTGGAGATGGCAAGGAAAGGCCTGAACTTGGTGCCGTGGCAGTTGTGCAGGCTGAGGAAGGCACGTTGCTGATCTTTGTCGAGGCCCTTCAGTTGTTCAGCGATGTACTTCTCCACGACGTCGTTGCCTTTTCCCATGACATTAGTAGGCACGATAAAGAGTGGCTTTTCAGCCATAATGCGCGTGCCTTTGGCGATGTCTTGGGTTGCGATGACACCAGTACCCTTGTTGGGAATTGGGACGATGTCATAAAGTCTTTGCTGGTTGTTCGTCGCCATTGTGTGTGCTTCGTGAACCGAAGATGCGGTGTAAGGCTCGTGGAAGAGTGTGAAGGAATGAAGGAAGCTGTCCGTCTGGTTCTCTCAGATGAGAGTAGAGTTTGCTTCTTATGTATCCCACTCTGTTCTTGGTCGATGGCAACAAGTTGTTGCTCTGAGGCAAGCTTGAGACGAAGGAGGTACCAGACCTGACCCAACAAACCACATCTCAGGTCTCAGGGATGTCAGCCTTTCATGTCTGTTTGCGGTCGTCGACGCAGGACTCATGTGGCTTGCCACGGCTTTGGGCCTCCCGCAGAGGCCAGGGCGACCAATCTCATCGGTAGTTTCTCTCATGGGCCTCCCACGTCAATGTCCGGTAAGCAGCATTGCCAGCATGTGAGGACCAGGACAGCAGATAAACGGCAGGTTGCGGTTGTCTCTCTGTTAGAAGGGAATCAGCAAACTCTCACCGTCTCAAGATCATCGTCGGACAAGGTATCGTGGAATGCGAGCACAGATGCCCCGGGTTCGCCTGTCTTTAATGCTCCAGCACGACGGTACAAGTGCCCGCTCCCCGAATCACCATACGGAGCTTGTTCCAGTTCAGTCTCTGGAACGAGGACCAATCCCCCTTGATAACGCTTCCCTGTATTCTCTCCGTAAGTGTACCACTCCAACAATAGCACGAGCAGGACTGGCTCGCCCGGTGGACATGTGTTTATTGCATTCGATATGGTTTCCGAGGCAGTTATCGAGCCAGTGTTGTGCAAGACTTGATGACTCGGGCGAGGCCGTTGAGGATGGGAGTTGGGAACCGGGCCGTAGCATCGATTGACCCCGCGCGCGACACCCGCCTTTGTTGCTCCTTCCTGCCTTCAGCGGGTTGAACTGCTCGACATGGCCCGGGGAGATTCTCCCTCTCGCTGTCGGGTTTGATGTCTTCCCCAAACGGTAAAGTTCCTGGCAACTTCAGAAAGGGAAGAGAAACTGGGACAGCATTTCTCTTTTTAACCGAATACATATTTGATTCTTCTTTTTCATTGTTGAATCGGTCTTTCTCCCATGTTGTTCCGAGAATATCTCCATTTACCCCCTGAAGCAATTCGTTTACAGCGGCCTTACAAAGCCCAGAGCGCTGGAAACCCCTCCTCACCCCCGCAACGCCCCGCTCCTCCCCCAACTGGTTCCCCAGACCCCACTACCAACCCCCACCAATCCCACCGCCCCCCTCCTTCTCCGCATCCCAATCCCTTTCGACTCTCCAGCCATCCTTCAACCCATTTCCATTTCCATCTCCCGTCTTTTTCCCAGTCGCCCACTTCCTCGCGATATTATACCCGCGATGTCCCCATTTCTCCGAAAACACCGCTCGTCCCGACTCGATCCACATCTGCATGCCGGCCTCGAACCCCTCCGCGTCCCGATAAAACGGCTCTCCTTGTCCACCCTGCTGTTTCACCTGCCAGCTCTTGTTCCGCCCGCCGTTACCGCGGGCGTACTTGGCTCGTTGCATGCGGCGGGCCGTCGACAACAAGCTGGCGTACGTTTCAGCTTCCGCGAACTTGGACGTGTCTTTCGCCGTCGCCGCTGCTGCTGAACCGGGTTTCTTGGGGTTAGGGTGAGGATCGCCGGGGAAGGAAGCTTTGATGCCCGGAATGCGGAACAGCGCGCCGATGTCGTCGAGAACGGTGCTCACGTCCAGGATGTGCCCTGCCCTTGTCGCTGGCGTCGTGGACACGTTCTGTGCGTAGCCCGCCCACATCAATCGGGTGTACATGTCGCAGTCGGTACCGTAGAAGGGAATGTGCGTGTCCCAGCCGCCCACGGAGAGGATGGCATCCCGGTGGACGAGGGTGAGGTGGTCATAGGAGAAGAAGTGGTGGGCCCACTTGGGATGGGAAAGGTCGCGGCATTGGTTGAGGGTATGGAGGGCATTGGCGTAAAGAGAGCGGTATTCTTCGGGCTCGTCGTCCTCGAATGGTTAGCTGGACGTGGAGGAAGCTTTGGTCTTGGATTTGGCCTTGGACTTGTCGGACTTGGACTGCGACTTGGCTCGGGCAGCGGCAGCTGGGGAATACGATGGGTGTCGGTGTTCGTAAGAGAAGACGATCAGGTCTTGATGTGACCAGAAGTATTCGGTCCAGCCGCGTTGGAGGGCAGTCCTGTGTCCATGTCACCGGTCAGCAGCCGTTCCGATCGGAAGGGAAAGGAGGGAACTAACCAAGCAAAGAAGTTCTGCAACTGCGAAAACGTCAAGAGCGTCGGAGTCTGCCATCCAGTAAATCAGCCAGTATCCATGTCATTCCTTCGTCCCTTGTACATTCCCTCTTCCCATCTTCTCGACTCTCCTTTTGCTCTTCCTACCCGCTTCCCAATCCCACAACGCACACCGCCCATGTCCACAACCCTGTGGCTTTTCCCATACCCGTCAGGACTAGAATCGTCTTTCTGCCCAGGCGAAACGGGCATATCCCCAGTTCCATCCCCTCCTATCCTTGGCTAGGGGTCAAACCAGAGTCGGGGTCAGCATCAGAAACGGCACCTACGGAAACAACGTTCACTCCAAGCATCCCCAACTGCGTCCGGTTCATAAAAAACGGATTCTGCAACCCCAACAACTCCCGCTCATTCGCATCCATCGTCCCCGTATTCTCGACGACATAAATCTCTTCCGCCGGCCAGCCTGCTGCAATGTAACTGGACACACATTGCAATAGGAGTGGCCAGTTGCGGGTGAACCCGATCAGCAGCGGTGCCATGCCGGTCGGGTTGAGGCTGGAGTGGTAAGGGGAGGAGGTGGGAGGGTCGGGGCGGCGGCCGAAAGACTTGCTGCCGAAGCGGGAGAAGTAAGACCTCGACGGCTGCTGGGTAAGTCCCTGGGAGGAGTGAGAAGGGTGGAGGTGGCGGAAATGCGAGGGGCGGTTGATCTCGGGTGGCTGTAGCAGCCTTCTCAGTTTGCGAGGCGGCAAGTTGGAAGAGAGGAGGGGGAAGGGGTCAGTGATTGGAGGGGACGGAGGAGTGGGAGGGAGGAAGACAGGCGGAGACAGGGAGGCAATACCCGCTTCGTTCCAGGTGAAAAAATCCTTTAGGAGCTTTGCTTGGGGGACGACGGGCCGGCCGGCGTCTTCGGCGCCGTATGGCGGGATGTGTTCCTTGCTGGAAACATTATTGGAAGACTTGGAGGCGTTATCTGAGGAGGCACGGGGCGGCTTTGACAAGTTGGACGACCAGCGGATGAGGGAAGCAGAGAAGAGGAGGTGGGCGGTGGTAAGGACAAAACAAGTAAGGAGGAGGCGGTAGCGGGTGCGGGTGGAGAGGTGCGAGAGTTTGGCTAGGTTGACTAGGCTGACTGCTCGTGTCATTTTGAGTTTGGATGGCAGCAGGAGGGCAGGATAGGATGGGATGGGATGATCGGTGCTGTGTTGGTATTGAGGAGAACGGAAGGGGGAGCAGCAGATAACCAGGGTAATGGATGGCCAAAGTTCGGGGATGGGGCAAGGAAAAGGAGGTGTAAACATTGCAGCCGCCATTGCAGACACGACCCACAGATTGGCGGAAGGCCGCGGCCGAGATTTCGACATGTGCCGGTTAGTCAGCGGTAGAGGCTGCAGTGTGCAGGAACTTGGAAATCCAGCATCATCTGCGATTGGAAACAACTGGCGCTCAATGCAAGAATCTTGGAAACTGGTCACGCTGGGATTGATGTTCAAATCGCCTTCATTACTGTCTATTTCAACTTGGTAGGCCTCGCCGATGCTCCTCGGAGGGCTCCTTATCAGCGCCGCGCGCCTCTCCGCCTCTGGGCACACCCTCCTCCCGTCTTTTTGGTCTGCTATTTCAGCAGTCACCTCCAAATGCCCAGGGTACGAATGATCGATCTTCTCATCCTATCAAAGTATAAGCGGACAAAGTCTTGTACAAGAATCGGATAAGGAACAGAATGTGCAGGTGAAGATCAAGATGTGAAACTTCGAAGACGTATTGTACAGGTGGTGGATGCGAGCAAGCAAAAGAGATAAAGTGAACAAAGGGAAAGGATAGAGATGCATTGCTCGTCCGTCGACAAGGAGCACCAAACATGCAAACATCCAACAAAAACCAAGACGTGCTTTAGTATTCCGCCCCCCGAGGCTCCCACTCCCAGCAGGAGCCCCCGTTTTATTCCGTGTAGACCAGTCCGTGCGTGAACGATAGTAATTGACAAGATGAAGATGAAGGAGATTATGATTGATGAAGCGTGTAGTGCGGAACATGTTGATGATGATAGAAGATAGAAAGTCGGAGTGAAATGTCCCATGAAATATCCTGAAGCGCAGACGTGATGAACTAGAATGAAAGAAAACAAAAGAACGCAACCTCCCTCCTTGAGCCCCCAATGCCATATGTTATCCTAAACCGAAAGAAACGAGAGCGTGTAGCGTTGATAGCATGAGCTGAATATATAAGAGCACGGGTCTGGGGTTCGTCCTTCAAATAAACTCTTCTCCAGCCCGGCGCACACGAAGCGGATGGCGAGGCGGACGTGGCGGACAAGGCGGACAATGATCCCACCCGGGGAAATGCTCATCGTGCACATCGGCGGCAGACGCAGGACACTATTCCTCATCCAGCGCCCCCATCTTTCCATCTCCCTTGCCACTCTTCTTCATGTTCCCGATCTTAAGCATGCTCAGCCTTTTCTTGACACTTGCACTGCCGTTGTGGAACTTATCTTTCAACTCCCTCAAGTCCTTGTCCTCCTCCTTGTCCTCCTTTTCTTTCTTGCTCTTCTTCTCCTTTTTCCCATATCCATTCAGCGCCGCTGCCGCCGCCTCGCGTTCCCTTTCTCGGTCCAGCTGGTCGGATTGCGATTGCGCGGGTGAGTGCAAGTTGGGCTGAGAAAGAGAAGGGGATGAGTACTCCGTCTGCCAATCTGTGTTTCCACCAACGCTCTCAGCCGCGCCGTTAATAGCGTTCACGAGGTGCACCTTGTCAGAGGAGCTGAACCCGCGAAGGAAGGAGCGGCGGTTCGCCTTCCCTATGCTCTCAATTGGCTGCTGCTGTTGTTCTTTCCTGCTGTGAACTACATTGTTAGGGACAGATGGGCTTCGGTCGCCAGTGGTTGTGGGTGTGTTCATCATCGTTGCTGATGCTGATCCGGCGTAGATGTCCTCGTGGGATTTTGACCTGCTGGCGAGGTTGTGGTCGCTGGTGTTGAGTAGGTGGGGGATGGAACCAGTTGATGATAATTGATGGGTCGTGGGGGAGTTCCCATCCTTCTTCCTCCCTCCCAAGAAACTCAGCCTTGCACCGCGTCCCTGTCGGAGAGAAACGGGTTGGGAAATCCCGGTACTGACGACGACGATTTCACCTAGAACATCTGCTGCTTCGCTTGCGGTGTGCGCATGGCCTTGAGCGTTTCCGGAGATGCCGAGGCCGTGGCCATTTGCCAAAGAAGCCGTGGCGAATTGTTGATGTTTGTGCTGTCCGGTTGAGGAACCGAAAGCTGCCGGTGATCGTGGCCAGGTTGGAGAGGGAGTGATACCGCCGGTGCGGTCGCTGCCGGGAGAAGGTTGGGGAGAGCGTGCCGGTGGGGGTGTAAAGATTGCGATTTCTGGGGCGAAGGTTTGTTCAAAAACTGTATTTGTTAGCACCTCCTCGTCCAACACGATGATGACAATATTGAACTTACACCTCTGCAAATCTTCCCCGTGTTTCCTTACCACCTCCCTGGGGCTCTTCGCAAAAGTCGCCAAACACCTCTTGATCATGATCGCATGATCCACCAACGCCATCTTGATGGCATTTTCTTGGGCATCAATCTCTGGGGGCCCATCTTCCTCGTCCTCGTCTTCATCACTCCCGCATTTTATCGTGATTGGCGTCGTGCTCCCCATTCCAGGAATCAGCTCTCGGTACCTACTCACACTCGCTTCGCTCTCCGGATTTACACTGATGCTGACCGCATCGACCAACAACATCACCGTAGCCTCGTCACTTCCCTCACCCCCTTGCGCCTGTCCTTCTGCAACCTTCTTCTCAACAGCGGTCATCTCTCCCGTTTTTCTCACGATCCTCTCCAGTGCCGTCTCCTTTGCCGTCAACCTCACATGCTTGATTTCAACAATCTCGCTCCGTTTGAGTATGGTTGGGAAAGGTTCAGCGGTGGTGTAGATTTTCTTCTCAGCGTAATGATCCCGTACATCCCCGTTGGTGTCTCTCTTTGTGCTGATGCTAAACGTTTGAGGACTGGAAGAGATAAGATAGTCGCGGATGATTTGCGGGACGCGAGCGCGCTGGAAGACGGTATGCGTGAGATCGCGGTGGGGAGAAATGGCTGATATGATGAGGAATTGGCCTTCAACATCGTACTCTGCAGTGTCACGTTCATGAGAAGGGGTGATGATCTGAGCAGAGGGGTACATCTCTTGCATGCGGTCGGTGAATCCGGCCGTGCGTTCAGTAGGAGATGCGCCCTCGAAGACAAAGGCCTTGTCGCGCACGGAAGGAGGGAAGCCGAGGCCCTTGTAGACCACTTTGAAGTACTTGGGGATGAGCTTGTCGGTCTTGTGCGCGATGGTCTCGTACACAGTCGCAATGGCCCGCTGTGTGCGGGCGAGCTTAGCGAAGTCGAAGATGTTGGACTCGTACTGGGCTTGGAGCTCTTTGTAGGCAGCGAGGGCGCAGGACCAGGCGTGCCCGTCTTCGAAGTGCTTGATCATGTCGAAGTAGATGCGCTCCTTGCGCTCAAAATGGGATTGCGCTGGGAAGCAAGGATCGTCGAGGGCGGGTGTGGTTTTGAGAGGGTCCCAGTCGTAGAGGTCGGCGTGTAGGCGCAGAGCGAGTCCGGCTTCGGTGTGGTTCCGTGCCGAGGCTTGGAGGCTGGCGAGCTGGTGGACGTAGCGGGTGAAGATCTCCTCCTTTTGCATGTCGCGGAGGAACTCCATGAGACGCAGGCGGTGGATGAGGTTGGAGGCTTCGCCTGAACCGTCACCGCTGTGGACGGCAACCAGCAAATCGAGGAACTCGTCGACTGTGCCCATCAGCTCACGGATGGCAGTGTACAGCGGCTCATCTGGGATCTTGGAGAGCGGTTCAAAGCGGTCCAGGAGCTCGCTCACAAAGAGCTTCTGGAGGATACTCTCTGTCAATGGCTTTTCCTTAAAGTAACCATCAAGACAGTCGATGATCTCCGTCTGAATGACAGACAAATCCTCGCTCAGGGTCCACTCGCTGACAATCATGGTCTGCAGAACCTCTACAGCCATCCTCCGGAGACCCTCATGCACACTAAGACAAAGCTCAACAATGGGCCCAACAAGCGTAGGCACATACTGCACCTGATAACCGCCCATCTTGGACAGCCCATACCGTGCCCGCTCCTCCAGGCTTGTCTCCCACCCAATAGCCTCCCACGTTTTCCTCAGCAGATCAGCTCCATGCTCTCTGACATCGCCCGCAATCTTCCAGACCGCTCTCCTCTTTTGCTCTGGGAACGTCTCCAGCGCCAGCGAGGGGCTCCCCACCAGCTTAAGCAGCGTAGTGAAGAACATCTTCCACAGCTCGGTATCAAAGTTCTCGGCCTCATCCGGATGCGGGAGGAAAGACTCGAGCAACAAAGTGGCAAGATATTGCAGTGTCCGCATGGTCGACTTGTGATGGAAGATATGCACGCTCAGCCAGTTGGATGGGAAGGTCTCGCCTTGCAAGATGCTCATGTGTACGCGCAGGCAGTTCTCAATGATGGCGTTGAGATCGTCTTCCGCCAGCTCCAGTTGCATGCCGCTGGGGGAGTTGGATAGCGCTGACAAAACAGCAGAGAGCTCGATGAGGGCTTCGTCAAAGACCACCTCTTCGGCAGTCGGCTTGGCGGGGAATGGGTACGATGTGGGGAACAGAAGCGACAACCGGTTTTTGGGCGTCTTCTCGGCAGCCTGGATGGCGAGGTAAGACTGGATAATCTTTGGGATATAATCTGGGATCTCCGGTCCGAGATGCTCGACCTGGCTGGCAAGCACCGAGCAGCACAGCCGCACCTGTTCTCTCCATTGCTCCGTCACCTCATCGGTATGCCCCCAGTGCGGCGCGATCCACCTCACGGTATTAGCGCTCAAGGCGGACCGCTGCTCTGGGTGCGAGAAGATGTCGAGCATGGAGTAGTTGATGATGAGGACCAGCTTGTACAGCACGAGCTTGCCCTTGACGGAGGAGCAAGAGTCCATAAAGTCGATGGCAATATGGAGAATCTCCTCGGTTGTCAATAGGCCGGTGAGCTCGGGTAGCCACGTGTGGAAATGTTGGACGGCGAGCGTTTGGCTGCCCACCAAGACAGGTGCCTGGTTGCGCATCAAAGCATCGAGGGCTTTGAAGATGGTGCGCAGGT